CCTGCTGAGCCTTTTGTCCCAGTCTGTGGGTTGTCATTTTATAAATGACTGTCCATCAGGAGATACTGTATAAGGAGTGGAACTAGATGAGCACCTCATAGCGCACCAAATTCACTAAGAAAATCTCAAATAACAGTTACACAGAAGTGTTTCACTACATTAGACAGGTCAGACTCAGTGTATGAAACTCAAATTAGATTTTTTTTAACTGCTGAGTGCTTTTTTCACACAAATAGTGGCTGTTCTATTAATTTTGTTTTATGATACAACATATATAAATGAGATTTAAACTAATTCACAATATAGAGAATGTGAAGTTGTCATCACACTGTGCTGAATTTTGGGTAAATGCACTATTTTGAGTGCATGACACTCATCATGCTTTGTAAAGATATACACTACATACATCTGTAAGTTAATTTAAAAAATATATACTATCCCATGTACTGTAGCTGCATATAGTAGTGGATGCTTCAACTACGTCCAAGTGTCCACTTTAGTGTTCAGTTTGAGCACAGACAGGACAGAAATTGATTTATCTGCAGCCATACTAGTGGCACATGTGAGCCACTTGATCTAACATCTGCATGCTAACGCCTGCTCACAGTCACAATGCTAACATGTATTTTGCAGGTAGAGCTAATTAAGCAATGCTGACCATTTTAGTTTAGTATTGCTATTAAGTAGTAAACACAAAGTACACCAAGGCCTGTATATTATTATTTGCTGTTGTTATTCAGTCATTAATCAGTGGTGCCAAATGATTTAATAGATTGAGACGTTTCATATAATAAATGAATACCTTGACTTCTTGGTGTTGCCAGAGGAAACAGTAGTGGTCCACCAAAGTCAGTCGGATTTGTCCTCTGGGGTGTATGAATGTTTGAAGTGTAGTCTATCTGGACACAAGTGGTTGTGAAATGTTTAGCATAATGTTGTCTTTATCACTTTATTCAGTGAATTTCAAAGCAGTTATGAAGGTCATTGCAAGGTATTAGTTTGTTTTTTGTACATGTGCCACAACATACAAAGCCAGAAAACTTAGATGTAAAAGAATACACAGAAATGGGAAGTCGAAGGTCCTTCAGGAACTTATTCCAAAACAAATTTTTGCTTTTTATTTTTTGTTATAACATTACTGTGAATATGATTTGATGAATGTTCAACAGCTATGGGTGTTGCAGTACAGTGCCCTTTCTGACTCATCCCTCTCTCTTATGACGTTCACTGTTCAATTCCTATAGTTTAACGTATGCAAGATATCCCATCTAATGAATTGGTAAGTTTTTCAATGACCCTGTGGCTCACCTTTCATTTGAAAAAGAAGTTGTCATCTCATGCAATGCCTGTTTGTCTGGAGCCACCTGAATGAGTTCATGTTGCCTGTGTGTGTTTATCTGCCAGTCTGTCCTGGAGCGCTTACCTTCCAACCACAAAAGTGCTCTGATGTTATGCTGAGGCTGCACATGCTGTGATGTGGGGCCAAATGTGAGAGTGTGTGCATGTGCCTGTGTGTGTGACACAGCCCTCATGTGACAGCTGTGCCCTTTACAACAGCACACTCAAAAATCAAGTGTCCTTATCTCCACACTGTTTGTCTCCAACCCAAATACAACAAATACCTCTATCCTTTCGCCATCACATAGGTCCTGCTATGCTCAAGGAACATAGTAGCTATGCTCACATATCACCTCTTTTCTATAGCTTGCACCAGGCCTTCTTGTTAAGTGAACAGCAGGTGGGATGGGTTGGGACAGGAGAAAGGAAATGAGAAGGGAAAAGATGACCTGAGAAGGAAGGAGAGAGGTAAAATGAAAAGGTTACCCTGATGCTGCCAGAAATTCTCCCCATGATGTTTGAAGTCCGCAACATTCCAATTAGACTGCAAAGAATGTGGATTACACACATACATACAACTCTGCCCTGTAAGAGATAGAGGCAAGGAGGCGGGGATCGAGAGGCAGGGACGGTGATGAGGAGTGAAAGTGGCAGAGAGTTTTGGAGAGAAGAGAGATGGCAGGAACCAGGGGAGAGCAGCCTCCGAGCTTTTGACAGCAGCAGAAGTCGTATCCACTGGAGGAAAAGAGAGGAGACACTCCCATGAAGGAAATGCACAGGGAAATGAGGCGAGTAACAAAAATGACAGAAAAAATATACAGAAATGTAGTGTGTGAGAGAGCCGCAGCTACAGCAGGAAATGGCATTATGCACACACTGTTTGGACATTTGTGCTCGTTAGACGCTATGATCAAAAAGCAGCTGTTTGGATGGTTTTGGTCAGTGTGTGCGAGCAGTTTGGCCAACAAACAGCTCTTGTTTGCCCTTATTTACAGTTGTGTCCAGATCCCATCCCTGTCACCGATAATATCACCAATGTTTTGTACAGAAAAGGCAACAACATCATGCAAACTATAGGCTATTTTAACTACACATACTCTGACGTATCTGTGCTTTTAAAACACCGAACCGTGAGGTTTGTTTGTGTGAATTTTTGTATGTGGCGAATTAGACCTTAATGAACAAGCTTCTTGTAATGACCAGTAATATTGCCCTGCAGTCTTCATCCTTTTTTTTGTTCCTTTGCTGTGTTATGCAGACCTTGACACACCAGTTCTGACCGTGCACCAGACCATTAGTGACGTGCGTGGCAGTTACTACCAGGAGAAGACGGTGTTCCTGCGCTGCACCGTCAACTCCAACCCTCCCGCAAGATTCATTTGGAAACGTGGGAGCATGCTCATCGAACAGAGCAAGGACAATGGGGTGGACATATACGAGCCCCTTTACACTCAGGTACACATGAACACGTGCACAGACACACAGCCAGGTGTGTGGTCATGGCCCCTTTTTCTCTTCAAGAAGTGCCTCGCAAGATTTCTCCCCTCTGAATTGTGTCCTCTCAGCTTTTGCCCTTGTCCTGAGAAAAGTCTTTCATTCTAAATCTCATTCCATTTCCTACTATTTCTGTTGAACATTCCCTGTTTACATGAACGCTGTTAGAGCGGCATGGCTGTGACCCAGGCACTCGAGGGTCATAGGAAATGAAAAGATTGTCCACTAAACCCAGCACTTATCCAATAGCTTTTATCTTAGCTTGTCGCAGTAGGTCTGTCAAGCTGTGAATTTCTCCACATGCTGAAGCAGTGTGCATGAGGCGACCATAAGCATGATACCCAGCATTTGAAGCTCTTTGAGGGTCATGGCATTTTTTGTTACCCTCTGAAGTATCAAAAACACAAGAGCTGATGTGCAAGCAAGCAATTGAACAGTGTGTTTATGTGCTAGGATGCAGTCATAGGCATTACTTCCAGGGCCAAGGAGCAGTGGCAGTTCCAGGTTATGTTACAAAAAGCCCTGCTCACCATAACACATCCACCGTCTGTGTAGTATTTCAGCACTGTGTGGATTCTGGTCCTGTGTGCGCTATCAGAGCCTCAGTGTCAGTGTAACTAGTGGCTCTGTCCTGCTTTTCATGGGATCTGAAATTTATGCTAGCCCTGGCCAAACTTGTTATTTGAGATACTGTCACACTTGCAAAACACATTAGTCCGCACCCTAAAAGCCTTGTGTCTTGTGAAAAAGTGAAGCATACAGCTTAAAAAAGCAAAAAGAATAAATCTCCAAATGTCCAGGTGTGTAGAGCAGGCTAGGCATCTCAGCTGTGATGTTGGAATGAAATAAAAGTCCAACTGATGGAGCTAATAACTTAATTAGCTACTGTAGCTGATAAAAAGATGATTAAACACTTACACAGATATCATTTTAGTAAATAAAAAAAAGTCTGAATGGTCCACTCAGAGATGAAGTTATGGGATTATTCAATATATGATTACAGTCAAAACACAAGAATGATCAGCTAAAACAGACTTAAATAAGAGGATTAAGTAAACTGATAAAAGCATAGATTATCTTGGATAAAATTATAAACACAGCAACATTACACAAATCACTGGTTAGCAATAAAAGACAGTGTGGTCAGTCATGTCTTCATGATGACTATTAGACCAAAGAAAAGAGGTAGGTCTTTATAGTCAGGTTTTAAAGATCTGTGGAGGTGAGTGTCTGTCACTTCAGAATTATAACTGAGAGCGTGGAATGTGATTGGTGATTGGTCAGGAAGTGGAAAAGGAGAGTTCAGAGATGTAACCTGGTGCATGCAGTGCTTTAAAAACTAATACAAGATCAAAAGTTTGACAGGCAGAGCAACAGTAGATACAGTGGGTGAGGTTTAACAAAAGGTCGCTTGGCTTTTGTCAGTACTGTTTTAGAAACTAGAAGTTTCTTAAATTGTATGGTGAAAGAAGAAACTATGTGCACAGATAAACAAACACACCTACATCTTTTTTTTAAGTGTCACATGATTGTTCCGATAGAGGACCGTCACCCGTGGCACTCCACCGACAGATTCATGAGCTTGAAAGTCATCAGTGGTGTTGAAAGAGATGTGTGGCTTCTTTTGTATGTGCAAGGCGGTGGTGTGAGAGACTCAGAGAAGCTGCTGAGATAGTTATAGTTTCATGTATAGTCAGGGAGAAGAGTTTTCCTGATGGTTGCATGCAAAAGCCATTTAAATGTTCAATATTACTCCATATGTTGATCTGAGGTGCTCCAGTTCATTATCAGGGTATGTCAGACATACAAGCACAGTGTGTGTGTGTCTGTGTTATGTCTTTGACCCTGTTTATCACTGCGCGGCTCATCAAAAATTGAAATAGCTTATATGTAAGATTACAACCCAGTTTAGAAACCACTAAAATAAAAAGCTTAGGGCTTTCTTGTTGATATAAAGTTATGTGTTGTGTAATAAAAAATAATGAGGATGACTGCACGCTTTTAAGCAAAGACCTGGTGTGGTCAAAACATTGGTTAAAGCGGCAATGTGGTAGTAATAGATTTATGTTTAAGTTATTGTTTAAATGTGTCTCTCATATTAACCTCATTAAATGATTATGTGATTACGTATATATATTTTTAAGAGTGTTGTATTTTCATGTGTGTGTTTGGCCCCATACAGGGTGAGACCAAGGTGCTGAAGCTGAAAAACCTAAGACCCAAGGACTTTGCTGATTACACCTGCCAGGTGTCTGTCCGCAACGTGTGCAACATTGAAGATAAGTCGGTCACCTTCAGGCTCACGAATGCTACCAGTAAGCCTTTTTTCAGAAACACACAGAAGACATGCTTCACAAAAACCAGCTTTTTTTTTTTTTGCTTTGTCTTTTGCACTTTTGCACCATCTTTCTTTGATTCTTTCATCTCGCCTGACTTTTCCCTGCATGCTCGCTGTGTCTTGGCTCAGGAATCTCTTGCTCTGGTTGTTAAAATGTCTCCCATCTTTACTTGTACAATTGTCCTTTCATCCTCTCAATTTCTCACTTCCTTTAATCTCTTACTCATCTTCCTTTCGTTCTAAAGGTTTCTCCTCTGCTCTCTGACTCTCTACTCATATTCGCTCTCCTCGTCTGCCTCCCAGCACACCACACTGTCTATCTGTCTTGTTTTTCTCTTGCTGAGAGCTCATCTCAGGGCCGTCAGCTGTAATTCAGTTGTCACGTTCCCTGTTATCTCCAATTCACTCTACACCGCTCTGTCCATCTCCACACGATTGCTACTCCACAACACTGTTACTTACGTCGACATTGTTGCCATTGACAACCCTGTCAGGTTTGTTACAGCCAGACTCGCACACGACAAAGGACAGCCCCACGCTTGTGCAGTATTTTCAAGTTATTTTTCTATTGTGCTGATTTTCTCTTATTCTTTCCATTTTTCTTGTGTAAATGTCAGCCAGCCCACGTGTGTGTAGGTAATTCTTGCTAGACAATCAAGTGTATTGCAGCATTATATATTATAGTAATTGTTTCCAAACCCACTGTTAGTTACTTTGCTTTCCTTTTAACTAAACATTCTTCCTATGAACAGCTATGCTTGTTTTCCACATGCTCAAGAGCCATTTGAATATAAGAAGGCTGTTCAGGGCTTCTTGTCTATAATCCTGTCTTTCTCATGGTCAGAGGGCTTCAACAAATATGCACTGAAAATGTGGAAATAACAATTTGCAATGATTGTTTTAACATAGGGAAAAGCTGCATTATGAGCAAAGCATAACTTTTTAAAACATTCCTAACTGGTTGTGAAAGTGAAAAATTAATATTTTCTTCAAGCAGTTTCTTTTGACATTTTGGGGAATATGCTAATTTGTTTTGTTGTCCAGAGTGAGAAGAGAAGATCAATACCACTCTTATGTCTGTGGGTTAAGTATTAAGCTGGTCCACGTACACTCAGTAGCACCTCTAATGCTCACTTATTAATACACTGTCAGTGAACATGTTTTCTCATTTGTTTAATTTGTTTAAAACATATGGAAGAGTGTAAACTGCAAGTTTTTTTATTGCTGTTGAGAGAGTCCTACACATAACGTGGGTGGTAGCTCCAAATTTACCATACTGACATGACAGAGATATTGATCTTCTCATTTAGTTGTCGGTTAGAAAGAAAATAAGCGTGCCTCCTAAAATGTAAAACTATTCCTTTGATATCAGTTTTCCCTTGAGCAAGCTACTAAACAGAAAAACTTAAAAGGCAGAAAAAGGCAATTACATGGCCATACTATGGTTGGTCCATGCTTCTGTAGTAGCTCATGCTGCAGTTTCAGCACTAGCTCTCTCATTTGTAGCAAAAAGATCATGTATAAATACAGTGGTGGAATGTAGCTCAGCACTGTGCATGAGTAAAAATATGAAGTCTTGTATTTCCATTCCATACTGCTTTATACTCTACCTTACTACACATCAAAGAGAAATATTTTACACCTTTATAATTTATTTAAATAAATACTAGGGCATTCAGTAGTGGTACCTGTGTGAAGCAAACTCATTTCTGGCTCTTTGGCCTTTGGGTCATTGCATGAATTATAACAAATCAGGGTGGCACAGTGGTTAGAAAGTTCTGGGTTCGAGCCCCGGATGACCCTGAGCCTTTCTGTGCAGAGTCTGCATGTTCTCCCTGTGCCTGCTTCGGTTCAGTCCAAAGACATGCAGCTTAGGTTGACTGGAGACTCTAAATTGCCCGTAGGAGTGAGTGTGGCTGTTTGTCTACATGTTTGCCCTGTGATAGACTGGTGACCTGTCCAGGGTGGACCCTGCCTCTCACCCAGTGTCAGCTGCGACCCTATTCAGGAATAAGCAGTATAGATAATGGATGGATGGATGTTTGAAATCAACAGGTAGGAAAGAAAAACTGAGACTTAATGCTGCTGTTCCTGGCATGTGTGATAGGTGTTACTCACTCTCCGTCCTCTTCCTTCACCCGCTTGGACTCATGTGACTGAGATCGATTGATTCCCCATGGCTCAGACAACACACACACACACACACACACACAGATACACAGCAGCCACAACAATAAGTGTCTGGCATAAGGGCTCAGTGACTTGCCAGAACATCCAATCTGTTTGGACCTCACAGCATCACAGAGTTGTAGAAAACACAGTGCTCTGCGTGTGTGTGTGTGTGTGTGTGTGTGCGCACGCTCCTGTCTCCTTTGCCTAGCCTGCTCCCCGGAGCTCATATAATTAATGGGATGAGGTAATGCTGGGCCATAGGACCAAAATTATTATCACATTATGTTTTTTTTAACTTTTCTTTAGTGATAATTATCTAACTATGTTTATTTGACACCATTAGTAGCCACACCACCCTGGCCGTGCACCATCTCAGAAGCTAAGCAAGACTGAACCTGGCTAGTATTGGGATAGGGGACCATCTGGGAATATCATGTGCCATGGCTACAACCAGCTACTGGGGTTACACAGGCCAGTGCACTCTTCATGCTGCGCTCAAGCCCAGATAAAATCAGAGGGTTTCATCAGGAAGATGTAAAACCTGTGCCACATCACATGCATGGATTGTAGTGATTCACTATGGTGACTCCCAGAGGATGGGGAGCAGCTGGAAGATGATGAAGAAGATCTGTTTAACATCATTAATGAGAAAGCAAACACAACATTTTTGTTAGACCTCAAGGAAACACACCATGGATGTTTTAAGGAGAACTGGATACCAGATTACAAGATAACATCCGATTCATTAGTACAAAAGTTGCATTCTGCAAAGTCTTCATAATTCTGGCTTCCAGCCATAACGATTACCTGGATGTTAAGCACAGTTCTGCATTTTTCAGCCCATAGAGCATGATCTCTAGCCTCTTTCTCCACCTAAGACACCCACTGTCCAAGCCAAGTGACTTCCTGCTGGTTCCCCACACACAGAAATGGGGTAAAATAAAAATATCTTGAGGCTCTGCTATCTATCCATTATCTATACCGCTTATTCCTGAATAGTGTCGCGGGGGCTGGAGCCAATCTCAGTTGACATTGGGTGAGAGGTGGGGTCCATCCTGGACAGGTCACCGGTCTATCACAGGGCCGACATGTAGACAGACATGCAGGCTCAAACCCAAAACCTTCTTGTGAGGCGACAGCGCTAACCACCATTCCACTGTGCCACCAAGGCTCTTTTAGACTTTCCTAATTGCATTGGACCCAGTGAATCCAATTCTGATAATAAAAGAAATTATTCCTGAGTTTTGTGGCACTCAGAAGAACTGATTCATCATTTCACAGCTACTCCTTTGCCAGTGATGCTTTATGGGGAAAATGCATTCTGTGCCAGTGTAATGAACACGGAAGTAATGTAGTAATGTAGACTGACCGAAAAAACAAAAACACTTCACAGTCCATGGGCTTGATACACTCAGTGTTTTTGTGTGAGTAAAAAATTTAATCATAACTATTTGTTTGAAAGGAAACTCCACAGAGCATGTTTTATTTTGAAATACGGGTGTATCCAGTTTAGGAATGAATGCTGTATAATCCAGATCATTTATTTTAGCATTTTGAACCAATAATAAAGCTATTATGGTGTAACACCTCAACAAGGCAACAGCAAACACAATAAACACCACACAGTACTACAGTAGGTATTGGCTGTTGCATACTGGTACTAGTAGAATTTACTTGAATGTGCCACGTTAATAAAATGTAAAACAAAAATGAATTCTCCTGAGTAAAATATACTTTTTGATGTCTCACCAGAGGGAATAAAAACTGAAAAGGGTAGACAGCAGTGTTTTGGAACTTGAAAATATAAATGGAATTAATTAAAAAAAAAACTGCAAAGAGCTCTGCCACACTTTCATCTAATACTGTAAAGAATTGCAAATCATTTGAGTTAAACGATTTTTGACAGTCAACTATATTCAAAGCTAAGCTGTTTAGCTGATTAGTGGTGGGCTTAAGCATTCAACAGCCACAACAATCTCAGACAGTAACGAGATATAGTGGGAATAAAGTAACACAGGGTTATGAGTTTAAATAAATCCTGCTACAAGACACAAATAACAACCCTATTCAGACAACGTATAATGATGTTATCTCAGACAATTGTATCTCTAGACTCACATTCCCAAAATAATATCGCAATGACAGGAGTGACTTACGAGGAAACACTGAACAGAAAGAAAATTACAAAGGAGATATAGAGCAGATAAAATGGAATGGATGCATGGGGCAAAGACAGAGAGAAGCAGATGGTCACAGAAAGAGAGCGACTGTAAATTGGAAAACAAACAGTGAGTTGCTTCTGTTTTTTACCCTCCATAATGTTTATCTAATGAGCGTACTTTGTTATTCCCCACTAAGCTTCCTTTTGTCCTTGTGGTGCCAGTCACTGCTTAGATTAGATTCATCCAACTAGGTCACGCCGTCGTTGCTGATTCACCGCAGGGATTGATTGATTTTTATATCATAATCCTGGCCTGGGATTTCAGAACGGGGCTTCTGGCCTGCAGAAACTGCTCACATCGGCCAAATCCTCTTCCCCTGCACCATAAAACACAACACGGGCTCCGAAGCTTGTCATATTATTACAAACGGTGGAGTACGGGTTAGAGGGGGTCACAGAACAAGAACGGGACATGTGGGGAGGGTGGAACATTAGATGAATGAGCCTGACGTCCAGTGTAGCTGAATGCCGACTTTGGATTTTATCATGTGGTGTTTGTTTACAATTAGTAGGAAAATGTGCTTGAAGAAATAAATATGTAGATGTCACAAAGGAATGAATCTGTCGTGATGCCACATACACCA